TTAATAAAGAAAAACTTTAATATAAGTTTAAGTAATATAAGGGTAGCTGATGATGACAAATCCTTGTCGAAACGTTGTACATTTGCTGTTATGTTAAACTTATATTAAAGTTTTTCTTTATTAACTATCCAAGCCGTCTCCAACCATTATTATATTCGCCTTTTCAGCTGTAGGAGCGTTCTAATGTAACGGTCAATCCCACTGTCTATTGGTAAAATAGTAACCCAAAAGTAGTTGGTGGGTGCTGCTGGCTGGATGCCTTTTTTCTGGTAAGCATATTAAAATTATGAACGGTGGAAAAGAGTCTTAGTAACTTTAAGATTAATAAAAACAAGCAAAATAACCTTTCTTTCCTCGAAAGCTCAAAAGTATAAAATATGTATCCATACATAAATTGCGCCTTAGTCACGAAATCAAATCAACAAAAAAGCCATACGTAATCAGACTATCGAAAATACATCTAATTTACAAAACTCGAAGGTTTCAGAAATTATAAAATTGACGTAAGTCTTTATGTACATTTGTATTGAAACAAAATAGTGGTGACAGTTTGATTTTGGAAATCCTACTCCAGCTTAAAATGATACGTTACGATTTGACCTGAAAATGTGGAACAAACCACAGCTTTCCATAATAATGACTGTTGTTTTACATGTTGTTATATGATGCTATGTTAGTTATTACTGATTAATACGATATTTTTGATCGTTTTTAATGCGTAAAACTTGGGTACGTTAAAAACTGCTAATTTATCGAAGAAATCTAGGTAACTTTGTGATTTTAAAAACGATTAAATAATATAACAGCACAACACTCTGAAAATTCAATCCTTCAGTTCTTTACCTGATAAACACGTAAAACTGATTATAAATAAATTATAAAAATTAGTTATAAACATCAACCGGTTACAGAAAATACTTAATCTTAGACCGGCGTATCCCTCAACTCACCTCGGGTGTTTAAAAACTTATGTCCTTAAGACAATGTTGGTATCATATACAATCTATAGGGTTTACTGAAAGAAGTTTAAGGAGGTAATTAAGTTTAAAGAATTATTGTGCTTACCCGTATCACCCTTTGAAAGGCTGTAGAAAATGTTATTCCGGTCTTTATCAAAGGCTTTTACTTGTCCAATACCCGTTCCAGCTATGGCATTTTCTTCTGCCCAAAAGTCGTATGGCAAGCCCACAAATTCAGGAGTGTATTCGTTAATGTTTTGAACTTTGATGACAACAGTCGCAGAGCTGATAAAGAAAACATGTTTGCTTACAGTGAGTGCATCAGCAAAATTTGGTCTTCCACATTAACATACTTAGTACCATTACATATTTAATAAACTCAGTTTTAGAGTATTATACTGACCACTTTAAACTTATATTTTGTACAAAATAAGGTATTTCCTAAGATAATTAACATTTATATTACATATATAGCACTAATCCCACACTCGGTGACTCAACGGTAAGTCTGAGAAGTTATAACGCAGAAAATAGGTTTTCCATACTTGCTTAACAAAACAAACAAACAATATGTAAAACTAAACATACACCTAAATAGTAGACCAAGCTATCCCTGCAAGATGTTTTACTCTGGTGATGAACAATGACATATCAATAACAAAATGATATTATACTTTACCCTGTACGTTGAGGATTTCCACCATCATCTGCAAATACTGTAAATTTATATTGGTCACGTACTTCGTAATCTAGTGACGACACCAAGATCACTGACCCTGTTGTTCTGTTGACCACAAACGTATCCTAAGACACAAAAAAGGTAAATCTATAGCCTTCATTTCAGCTAAGATCCGCAAGAACATTTTCAGAATGTTGAAGTAATGACAGTTTTTATTTCGATATATTTGTTAGTTATGATTTACAACATATATCGTTTGAACAGCACCAACTTTCTTGTGCGAGTAACAAATGGCATTTTCTCTTTATACGGACACAAAACATCGCTGAATAATATGGAAGAAAGATACTGTTCTATAATTTCTTTCAAAACATCCCCCCTCAAAAGAACTCATTGAAAAATGTCACAAAAATAATTGTAATACATAAACAAAGATCATCATCCATGAAACTTATGTTCCCAGGACTTATTATATGATAAGGCCATTTTTAAAAATTAAATGATATATATTTCTAAACTTGATAAATATGCATTTTTGTACAGGCTCACCACATTGTCTATTTATTTTAAAACGCTTATTTCCTTGTTCATTAATTGCTCATTTCTATTTCTATACGTGATCATACTGAAAATGAAATAAATGATATTGAAAGAGCAACAAAGAATGGTTTATAATGCCATGAAAACTTGCCACTAACCTTGGAACCATTGGTGTAATATTTTTCAATGTTTCCATTATTACCAGCGTCAATATCGAGAACTCGGTAGAATGGTGGAAGTTGTGTGCCGGGAGAAAGATTTTCTGGGAGCTCTAAAGAGTAGTTTTCTGACATAAAATAAAAATTAGATGTATTATTAATTAAAAATGCCTTACCTTACTTAATTATTAATGCGTCTGTTGACAGTTTCATTGACAACTGGTCAACAATATAGTTTTAGTCATATTGTCTACTAACTTGATATTAAACGCTATTTACTAACTACAGTCTCAAGGGAAACGATCTATATATGGAAGAAGAAAAATATAGCAACAGTGTAAAAAGAGATATAAAATGTATATTAAGTACTTATTTAAAAATTATTTCCCTATACCCTAGTTAAAATACTACACATACGCCTAAAAACTTTACACCTGTGAATCAAGTTATCATTGCTTCAAGTTGTTCCTCCAAGACCTGGAGCACTTTTAATCTATCAGTCTCCTTTTCTTAGTCCAAAAAAATATATTGAAACACTCATGAATGGCAGATTATATTTACTTTATATAATAGGTGGGATATGAAAAAAAAAGATCTTTCTCAGTGGTTCTTACAAATTTATTCTGCAACATTGAATAACATACAACGAAATCTGACGATGGCTAACCAAATAAATATAGATGAAGAACACTAGAAACCGCTAACGTGAAGATAGCTGCTTTTATATCAAATAATATTGTAAAGTCACGAGATCTGACGATGGCTGACTAACTAAGTACAGATGAAGAACACTAGAAACTGCTAACGTGAAGATAGCTGCTTTTATATCAAATAATATTGTAAAGTCACGAGATCTGGCGATGGCTGACTAACTAAGTACAGATGAAGAATACTAGAAACTGCTAACGTGAAGATAGCTGCTTTTATATCAAATAATATTGTAAAGTCACGAGATCTGGCGATGGCTGACTAACTAAGTACAGATGAAGAATACTAGAAACTGCTAACGTGAAGATAGCTGCTTTTATATCAAATAATATTGTAAAGTCATATGGTATATACGCAACTTATAATGGAATAGAGATATTATGCAAATTACTTGCACTAAACACGATGAAAAATGTATTTCTTTTTAACAGATGAATACTATGTTAATCAAAATATAATGCATGAATTTAGAAATATACTCTGTAGCGATTTATAATTTAATCACGTGTCCATTTAGACTGCTATATGTAAGCCGTTGAGTGTAATCTGTTAGTTACACTTGAACATTTACGACTTGCCCTGAGCATTTCCTTGAAATTGAGATATATATAGTTAATTATTTGTAAAATATCAACTTTAACCCTTTTAAAATAAATATATCACCTTTTTGTTGGTTTCCTACACCTGTTAAAAAGGAAAGACAATTCGTGTTGCGTCGTCAGGCTCATTTTGACTTATAACTTCAAAACATTTCAGGCAGCAGAATATATCAAAAATAAAACGCAATCACCAATTAAGTTTCAAATGTTTGGAGAATTCATGTTAAGCCAAATATAAATAAATATTATGGTCTGCGTCTCGATTGAATCTCTTCTAAATGTGTTTCTAGAATAATTTGTTTGGAATTAAGCACAAAGCTACACAATAGGCTATCTGTGCTCTGCCCACCACGTGTATCAAAACCCGATTTCTAGCATTGTAAGTTCGCAGACATGCCGCTGTGCCACTGGGGGGGGGGGGTAAAGAAAATTCAGATATGGCGCAAACTATATTCTCATTTTAAACCAACTACACCGTAGCAACAATCAATTTAAGAACCAAATTAATTTTAATTAATACAACAAATTTAGTCTCTTCAATGGTCAGAACCAGTTTCACACTTGGAACAAACTCAGAGCCATTCTATGAGCCGCTATGTCGCGGCTAAAAATTATGAAGGATTTGTTGCACAATTCACGAAGACATTTCCAACGCATCATCAACAATAGCATAAATAA